TGCACCACTTGGGCTGCTCCCAGAACCCTGTTCTGTACGGAATACAGCAGTACAGACTCTTGGTACCAGGCCAGGCAAAACAGAACCCCAGGGGCTATGTCTGTCAGACGTGCACCATCTTATAGAAATGGCAAATTGATTCCATCCCTGGTGATTTCATCTTACAGTTAACAAATACCTTAGGATACTGAAAGTTTCGGTTTTCATCTAGTGGAGGGGAGGGACGCAGAGAGACCCATGTGGATGGCCTTCACCTTCCAGAAGTAGTCAGCAAGCCCACAACCAAAAGTCCCTACAGGCTTTCCATAGCATTTCGTTTGAACTTCTGGAATCACTCTACCTCCTGTTTTATCCTTATTTTAGATCCAGTCTTGCACAGAGTAAATAACCAGGCTTCAGTGTCTAAGAAACCACTGAGCTTCTCACCAGCTGTGGGGTCTGAGCCAAGAAGCTTTCACATCCAGGTCCTCAGTCGCCTCCCACAGCATCTACATTTTATGGCGATGGTAAGATCAAGTGAGATAATGTATGGAAATGATTTAGCACAGGCCTGGCACATAGTGGGTGCCTTAGAAGCAGTAGCTTTTATGTCTTTGACTCAGTAGGAGCTGTGTTTTATTTATCCATCCTCTACCACCCCAGCAGCCGTGACCTGGCCCGTGCCTTCTTCTACTTGCTAAGTGCTCAGTAAATATTTACCGAATGCCGAACACGCACACAAGTGCATGCACATGAAAACTGCCTGTGGTGCCCAGAGGAACACATCTGAGCCAATCAGCTCAGATTCTGAGCGAGGGGGAGCAGTGCCTGCGGGGTGTAAGTAGCACTGGAAAGAATGAGGAGGCATGTGGAATTCGCGAAACGTCAGTGCACTGTCCTTTGAACGGCTGTTGCTTGCTCTAAAGCTGCACAAGGCTTACAGCCCCCTGGACCTTCACACTGGCCTTCTCCACAGGACTTCGGCCTCAGAACAGGGATGGAGGCTGGCCTCGGGAGCAGGCATTCCTTCAGCGACAAGTCAACTGACATCTGGGAAGCACGCACAGGGTGCCAGGCACCGGGCTGTGGGCCCGGAATAAGCTGAAACACAAAATTGTTCTGGAAAGCTCACAGTTTGCTGGAGAAGAGAGCAATAAATACCCAGGTTGTGGGGTAAGTAGGGCAGAACACAGGGTAAGATTTAGAGGTGAGCCTCACAGTCTCTTCTGATCTGGCTACCAGACCTGCAGTGACCCTTTACTTCTAGATCAAGCTGTTCCTGATTCCCTCCCTGTATTAGTCTATAGTCCTTTTTAGCCCAAGCTCCTGTGATAATGGTCTCTTAGCCCCCAGCTTTTAGGTTAATCAGGACAAAAGGCAGGATTCTTTCAAGCCAACATCTGTGGTTCAGCCTGAATTCTTATTTTAGTTAACTGAAATGGTCTCTGAGACCCTAGTATGTGTTCAACACTGAGAAGAGCATGGAGCCCACCGCAGACACAGGCCGCACCTCCACAGGGCACGGGGCCTGCTGGGAATCAGACAATTCAACAAGAGACCAGAGCGGAGGGTGTTGACCACTACGAGGAGGGAACAGGGTGCTCAAGGAGGTACACTACAGGTAGACTGAAACTGATTTCAGGGTAGATCTGAGCAGAGACCAGCAGGATTAAGGAGAGTTCTCAGGAAGAGGGAGGTTTCATTTCTTAATGGTTAGGAGGGTGGGGCCTAGGATCTCCTGGCTCAGGTTCAAATCCTGAGCAAGTTAATGTACTAATCTTAACCTCAGTTTCCATTTGTTTTGTTTCAGACAGGGTCTCACCATGTGGCGATCGTCCCGCCTCAGCCTCCAGGGTGGCTGATACCAATGCGTGCCACCTTCCCAGCTATTTCCTGATGGCTGCAGTGCAAGTTCCAGGAGTCACTCTCCTTGGACCAACTTGGGTCACATTCTCCTTGCTGAAGCATCACTACAGCCAGTTGAGTGGAATACACTGATTGACAGGCCAGGGCCATATGTCCATCTGTGGAGCCAAAGGTCAAGGTCAGCTCCAACAGAATCGTGTGGACTGGATGGTGATCTCTGAAGGCAGATGGCTCCTGACCAGTAATTTGCCTATCTGCTCTCAGATCTCTGCCTTGCATGATAGAAAGTTATATGTCCTAGATGTCTTTGCCTTCTGGTTTCCAGTAGATTCTGTCAACTGGAGACACGAGAAGATTGGAGGTCGGGAGAAGAGAGGCCAATGTGCTTCAGTCTTCTCTGTGCCTCAGCTGGTGTCATAGGTGATGGCTACGTCCCTTCTGGGATCCTCTCCTTCATGGTCCTGGCTCCTGCTGATGAGACCCACCCTGGTTCTGGTTTCTCCTGCATGAGCCTGGGATCGGCAACTCTGGCCATGCCTGTGTCCCCAGCCCGAAGTGTGACAGAGGAAGCCTGTTGTTGCTAACCACCATGTGGCCTCTTGGCATCGTCCACCAACCGCATAACTAGCCCCCAACATGAATCTCACTCTAGTTGAAATCCTTGGAGTGATTCTATTGTACCAAATCAGATCCTGAACCACACAGTTCCCTAAAGGGAAATCCAGGGAGAGAATGAATGTCAGGCAAGCAAGATTAATTGATGTTCTCCGTGGACTGACCCCTAGCTGGTTCTTGTAGGTTCCTCTTCCAGGAACTGAAGTGTTGCCTTATAATCCCAGCCTGTGTCTGCCTTACTGCCCTTGTGAACATGGCTCTGTTTAAAAAATGAATTACCTTATTAATTGTTATTATTATTTAGAGGTGTTTGAGTTAGGGCACATGTGCTCTCCGTGGAGAGACAGAGAGACAGAGACAGAGAGAAAGTGAGAAATCCTCCTACCCTCCAAGGGGGGACAGCCATACCACAATCCCTTCTTCTCTATCCTCATCCTGGGGTCTTAGGCATGCATACACTTGCACACAGCATGAGTTTCAAGCCACTGGGTCTGGGGCTCAAACTGCCGTCAGCCATGTCAAAGTCCAGCGACGTAACCGCCATGCTATCTGCTGACCCCGTTATTATTTTTTGATTTGCTACAGGGCACCTGTGCTCACCAGAGACAGAGAGAGCGGGTAAGTAATAAAGCAAGCCTCCAGGTCCAGAACTAGAACTTTGGTCAGCCACATGGGAGTCCAATACCTTAACCACTACGCCACCTGCTGGCCCACAAACATAACTTTCGTGTGCTGTCTTCCAGGAAACCTGTCATAGGCCCGCCGCAGCAGCAGCACTGTATGTACCAGACTGTGCCAGACACAGCTCTAACACATGGGGCTGGGTCCATGGCTCTGGGGCTAATTGAGTTGGATCCCACATGGCCCACCACATGGTTTGGATCCTGGCCCTGGAGGCTTGAAAAACATACCAGGTATGAGAGTGTGTGTGTGTGTGTGTGTGTGTGTGTGTGTGTGTGTTCCCCAAATCCTGAGAAGGAGGGAGAAATGGAGAAGGGATTGCAGCATGAACATGCCCTGTGGGGAATGTCTCTCCCTCTCCCTTTCTCTCTGTCTCTAGCAGTTGCAATACCCTCTGGCAATTAAAAAAGAAAATGGAGAAAAAAGAAAATAAAAGAAAAGTGCTTTATGCCTGTTAACTCAGTATTCAGAACAACGCCAGGAAGCAGGACTATCATCTCTGTTTTACAGATGAGAAAACCAAGGCTCACACACAACAAACAAACAAACAAACGTGCCCAAAGTCAAAGGGCTGGTGAGAGAGCAAGCTGAGATTTGCATCTTGGCTCAGGCTTTCAGAGCCTCCATGTTAACCAGAATCCTTAACTGTCTTGAGGCCTGGGAGGTGTGCAGTTGGTTTGAGGTCTGCACAAATTCACCTCCATGTCATTATCTGGATGAAGGTGGAAATCCTTCTAATCAGAGGTGATAGACACACCCCATCTGGACGTTGGTACTCTGGAGGGTTTGGACTAGGCAGAGACACCCTGAAATTCTGTTGTGGGTTTTCCCCTCAGCAGCTGCCAGCTGTGAAGCATAACTTAACTATCGCTAATAAACTCTGAGTTATAAAAGGGGATTAAAGCTCTATCTGCAAAAACCATTTGTGGCTCAAAACAATCACCACGCTCACAAGAAATGTGGTGGAGAATTCTGTGAAAATTGCGCAAAAGCCGTGCCAAACCCTCACTCAGCATTCCATTCAGTAGAACCCGAATGAAATGAGGAAATAATCACGGGGCTAAGATGACGCCTAATTAAAGCTAAATTTAGCCAACTCTTTATTTTTTTCAGAGTTGTCATGAAATCCATTTCAACTGAGACAATAATAATGGCAAACCAAGATAATGAGGAAAGGGATTGAATCTGAAAGGTAGAATGCCATCGATATAATAATTAACACACACACACACAAGGGCCAAATGAAGTGGGCAGTCCTTTCTAGGACATTTTCAGTAATTTTGCTGTGGCTTTGTGGCTTTCTAACTTTTTCTTTAAAAAATAAAAAAAGGAAAGCAAGACTATCAGGAAATACGGTGATTTTCCTGCCATTTCCAGTGGCTCTCTGTGAACACGGTGTCTCATTACCACATGGTGGGAGATGGTGGAGGACCAGACCTCTAATTACAAGGCAGGGCCGACTCCAGCTCTGCCCTCGCTGACAACTCTGTCGCAGACTCTGGGAGTGATCCCAGAGGCTAGCTCTAAATTAAATTAGAGGGGAATGGAGCGTGCGCAGAGAGCTAGCAGTGCTGGCCAACCGGGCACGTTAGATGTGAGCTGCCTTTCTCCTACAAGACTTTGCTTTCTCTTCAATTAATATACACCACTGAGAAGTAATCAGGAAATGCCCCTAAAGCTTCTAGTTTCATAAAATGGAAGCAGAGAGGGGGCTGAGGTGAGAGGTGAGGAAATGGCTGATAAAAGAACCACCCTTCACACCCAAGAGTCGGACACCCGCACCCACACATGTGCACGCATGAGAACAAGACAGCTGTTGGCTTCAACTGATTTTCTGCCTTCTCTTGGCCCTCTCAGGTAGGAAAAAGACATCAAAACTGAACACTGATCATGTGGATATTGACTCTATCTCTCCAGAAAGAACTGAATGATCAGGTAATTGAATTCCTCTTAGAAGCCCCCAATATTCAATTTATCATCTCCTGAGCACTGGGCACTATAATTGCCTTATTTAGTCTGCACTGCAATACTAAAAAATAGGTATTATTAATTCCATTTTACAGATCCAGAAATCAAGACGGCAGGAAGGTGAGTAACGTGTCCCCAAATCACAGAACAGTAAGTGGCACATTTGGGATTCAAGCCAAAGACTGCCAGAGTGTGGTCCAATACTGCCTCCTAGCTACTTTTTCCAGTTAAGTGACAAAATGTCACTAAGTATTATATCCTGATCAGGAGATGTCTATTCAAAAGATGTTTTTAATATGGATTTTAAAAATGCATACTATTCCATTTCAGCTTTAAAAATCCAAGTAATAGACAAAGGAGATGTTCTTAATCAGCCCTGAGCCTCACTGCAATTACTCAAAAAGAAGCATAAATTAGAATGTTCTTTTCAGAGGCAATAACACTATATATGAAATAAATAGAAGGTTTTTCAACACACCTGAGAATAAGATCCAACTGAAAGGAAATAAACTTAGCATGTATATGCATATATGTGTTTATAATCAACTTTAACATTCCACTAAGAATATCCACAGTCTCTGCCCTTTCCCGACCTCTGAAGAGAATCTGCTTTGCTAAGTCTGACACCTGTCTCCCCAGCTCTGCCAGGCTGTAAGGTACTGGTTTTCAAAGGGTGGTCCAGGAAGGAGGCTGTGTGGGCACAGCAGAGGTGACAAGTACATTAAATAGCAAACCCCTCTCTTCATTTCTTTATGACTCAATCTAACTTAGATAAAAAGGAATTTAAAATAATACCTGTCAGGATAAAGCAACCCAGGAAAGACATTACTAAAGATGAGATGCCCCAAATAATTTTTTCACTTCAATGCTAAAAATGGGATTTCCCAAATATAATATAGTATTACTTGATATTTCCCCCAAAGATAGGTGGGTCCAAGTCTCTTTCATTGAATTTGGGTAGGCTTCTGATCATGGCAGAGAGGACTTTTGAGACTGGGACACCTGCTCTTAGAACCCAGCCACCATGCTGTGAGGAAGTCCAAGCAGCCACATGGAGAGGCTAAGTGCACGTGTACCCATTGGCAATCCCAGCTGAGGTCCCTGCAAGCAAAGGATCAATTTCCAGACAAAGAAGTGAATGAGCCTTTAGATGATACTACATGCCAGCTGCTCAGTCACCTCCAGCCTTTCTAGCAAACCTCTACATATTATGCTGGAGAGACAGGTTGACTCCTCTACATACCCTTGCATGACTCACAGAATCGTGATGATAACAAAATGGCTGCTGCTTTATGCCATACGTTTAGGGTGGTTTGTTATGCTGCAATGACAATGAGAATAAATGATCTTCCCATTTTTCTTATCCTTTAGGACACTAACACTGACTTCTTTGAGATTCTACCTTTGTTCTCTAATAGTAGTTTCTATCCACCTTTATTAAAGAAACTTACCATCTTGTTCTATTGGTAATTATATTTGTTTACCTATCATTAGCTTCTGAGCTTTGCAAGGGTGGGAATTTACTTATTGACTTCTGCTCCCCAAAACATCTGTTCTATGAATGAATGCAACAGGCTAGAAAATATCAGACCTTTGGACTCAATCTCATCTTCTCAATCATGGAGAAAGCCTGATAAGTTTTAGAGCAACTGTATTTCTGAAGAATCATTACCTACAAATCAACACGCATGCAATCAATACATCATCTTACTCACTATGAGAGAAGAAGCTAAGCTAGAAGTTTGGGAACAGGAACAAAAACACTTGCAGTTCCAGTGAAATAGCTGTGTATTTCTCTTCCAAATCATTCCAAACTCTTAGGGTTGCCTAACACCCATGCCTACCATGTCCTGCCACAAGGGCTGCAAGTCCACTTAAACACTTGTTCTAGGCCCTTAATCAGGGCAGGCCAGAAGTGCAAGAGCAGTTAAAACCCAGGGATAGCCTGAGCCCTTGATAAACATGAGTTAGAGGATAAATAGCCATAAATAGTCATTTCTGCCTCCCTCAGTGGGTAATTCTGAGACTTGTTCTACATTGTCTGCTGGAATCTCCCAATAGTCCCAGCAGCTCTCTGTGGCAACAGTCTCAATAACTCATCCTTGTGTTCCCAATGCCCTACTGAACTCTCAAGATCACCTCTGACATCAGCTATTGGCACTCAGGTCCTCTGCTCGGTCTGCTGCTTGGTCTGCTGTTTGAAGGCTCAAACTAGGCAGCACAGCACAGGTCTCACAGACAAAAACATCAAGAAGACTCTATAGGCAGACAAAATTCACCTGACAAGGTACAATTCATCCCACTAGATTTGGACAAGTGATGCCGATACAATCTCCATGTGTTGCTGATTAAAGATAATCAATACGAGCTTCAGGACACAATAAAGTAATAGAAAGAGCTCATTCGCATTAGGCAGGACACTTCTGGCTACAAGTGATGAAACTAATACAGGTTGTCTCAAGCAAAATAGGAATTTACTATTTTGTGCATCTGAAGTGCCATAGGAAAAGGAAGATCTTCAGGCATTGGGGAGCCCATAATAATATTATTGGGTTGGCATAAAAGTCATAACACATTTTTGCATGAAAAACCAGAAAAAATATATCATGACTTTTCTGATGACCCAAAACAAAATATCTATTTGTGTCCATTCTTGAACCCTGCTTTCCCTGGGTGATTTTTACCATTAGGTAAGAGCTTCAATAGCAATGAGAAGATACAGCTTCAGATTTAATATTCCACTCAGTAACACCAGCAGAAAAAGAAATGCTCTTTCCTGACAGTTCCACACAGATGTGAGCCTGGCCCTCCTCCGTACACTGTGGACTATGGCCATTGGAATACACTGACTGGATGACCTGGCTCTCCCAACTCTTCTATAGACAGGACAATGGCAGTGGTAACTCCCACCCAAACCATACAGCCTGGCAGTGGTCAGGAATGCTTTCTGAAGGAGATCTGGGTTACAAAAGAAAGGGACACTATCTGGAGAACTAATCCTTGCTTTCCCACTTTTATTCCCCAATGCCCTACTGATTGACAGATGCCAACTACAACATGAAAACACACTTGGACTTTTGGAAAAATGAGAAAGACCCAGCTGTGGTGGCTCAGGTGGTAGCATACTGCTCCGCAGTGCTGGAAACCACATGACCAACACAGATTTGGATCCCAAGTCAACTTCAAACAAGCTGGGTGCACATGTGCCTAAGATCTTGAGGAGCTGGAAGTTGGGGAAGAGGACTGCAGTATGAAAAGACCCTTTTGAGGGTACTCATCTCTGTCTCTCTCTCTCTAAAATACTCTCTCAAGAGAGAAATAAAAATGTAAAAGCTTTTAAAAAATGTGAAAGTACAGATAAGCAAACCCAAAGCAGCAAACAAAAGTTGAAGTCTGCAATTACTCAGACAATAAAAATCCCTTCTTTTCGGTAAGTGTCTTGGTCCTTTGGGGCTATCACAAAATACCAAAAAACTCAGTAGCTTCTAAACAACAGAAATTTCGTTTTCACAGTTCTGGCAATTGGGAAGTCCAAGTTCAAGACATCAGCAGAGTTGGAGTCTGGTGAGAACCACTCTCTGATTTGTCAATGCTGCCTTCTTGCAGTGTTCTCGCATGGCCGGAGGGGAGAGGGTGCCTAGTTTTCTGGGCAATAACCCATTCATGAGGGATCCACCATGATGGCCTAGTCACCTCCCATAAGCACTATCCTCCAATACCATTGGAGGGCAGAAGGATTAAGGGGAAAGTGTGGCAAGAACCTTTCTTGTGGTTTCTGTAGAAAGGAGTGAGTGAGGCAGGTAAGAAGGCAGAGGGCTGGTTAGTCTATTACAGTAGGCTCAGCGGGTGTTGGGCTATCCCGCACTGCCACATTTCTGGCCCTGGGGCGATTAGAGTAGGTGGATAGTGGGTGATGAAGCCAAGTAAAATAGATAACTTGGGGGTGTCTGGCATAGCTGCTTTGCAGGTCAAAGGTGTGCTCTCAGATGAGTGGTTTGTTCTCTCCAGGAACTGGCTAATTCTGGGAGGGGCAGTCTGTCCAAGTCAAGTCCCAGAAACCAAAACATAAAGAAGACTGAGAATAAGGATATATGGTTAACATACCTTCCCACCAAAGGCAGGTCTACAACCTGGAAAGATCGCATGGAGTAGTTATTTGGAGAGTCTGAAAACGAAACAGTAGCAAGCAGGTTGGGGAAGAAGACCAGAATTGGAAGCACCATCAAACCAGCAATAAATTTACCCTGTTAATCCTTCTGCAATCCACTGGCCTGAACTCAGCACAGCCTTGGTTGTTGGGTCTGCGGGCAATGAGAGCTGCTGGAGAAGCCCTCTAGTTCTGACTTGAGGAAAGGGACAAGGGGCTCCTAATGCCGAAATGTGGTGGGGAAAAATACCACTTCCTTTTTTTCCTCTTTTTCCTATTCTCTTGCTCTTCAACCCAACATTGGTTCCCCATCTCTTTTTAAAATTAAAAACATTTTTTGTTGTTGTTTCTAGAAAGTATAAGAGTGAGAGAGAGAGAACTCATCCCTCAATGGGGTATAATCTTGCCGCAATCCCTTCTCTGTTTCTCCGTCCTGCTGGAATTTGGGGCATGCAAACACATGAACCTGATGTGTTTTTCGAGCCTCTGTGGCCAGGATTTGAGCCCCAGTCAGCCATGTGCGATCTGACTTGCTATGGCTGGCCCACCCACAGTGGTCTTTAGATGCTGAGGGCAGCTGTGTCAGAAATGACAAGAGGTCCCAGGAGCTAAATTCTGAGGAAAGGAACCTTTCACTCTGATGAGAGGAGCTGTGGTCTCAGAAGCCATGCAAACTTCCATTGCTTTTATTCTCTCTCTCTTACCCCAAATTGTCTCCAGATGTGAACATGGGGGTGGAATGTGTGGCAAAGTGGGAAAAATCAAAGCCATGGCTTTCTTTCCAGAAAGAGTCAGTTGGGGAGTGGAAAAGTGTTGAAGGTATCCAGGAAAGAGAGGAGAGAATTGCTTACAGATCCCGAGGGTCACTCCTCAGATCCTCAGGCCTGGATATGACCCCAAACAACATACACAGACCTGTTCCAGGCTGGGCCTGGGGAGATGGAACTTGTGAACGTATGGGACAAATCTGATCAGCAAAGGATGAAACTGAGGGGCCAGGTGGTGGTGCCACAGTAGGGCAGCTGTGCCCACAGGGAGAAGGTCCTGGGTTCAGTTCCAGGGCCTCCCTGAACATGTGGGTGCACATGTGTGTCTATGGGACAGCTAAGACTAGGGGTGGATTGTGATATAAAGACCTTGTGGGATGCCTCTCTCTTTCTGCCTGAGGAAAAGAAACTTTTATTTGAAAAATCAGGGCCAGCAGATGGTATAGTGGTTATATCGCTGGACCTTCACATGGCCAACCGTGGTTCAAGTCCCAGAACTGGTGGTTTGAAATTCTCACCAGGTACATGTGCACGTGTGTTCAAGATCCCAGGAGGAGAATGGAGGAGAAGGGGTTGCAGGGTGTGGCCATCTCACCTGAGGTGATTTCTCATGTTCCCTCTTACTGTCTCTCTCTCTGGTGAGTTCACGCACCCTAAGGTGAAAATCTCTACAAGAAAAAAATTCTTAAAAACCTAAACTGACCTTGAGATCACAACCCACAGAAAGCTGAAAACGGAGGCATGCACACACTGGGTGTTTACCTGCTGAAACAGAAACATCTGCATTCTCCATGGAATCTAAACAAGACCCAGAATTTCATAATATAATATTTAAAAGATCTGGGGTACAAACCAAAATTACTCTGCACTTAAATAAGCAGAGAAATCTCAATTTATAAGGCAAAAAATGCCAATACTGAGAAAACACAGACCTTGCAATCATTTGACAAAAATTTAAAGCAGCTATTAAAGAAATGCTCTAACAAGCAATCCTGAACACTCTTAAAATAGGTGGAAAAAGTAGCCTCAGGGAAAAAAAAAAGGAAGATATAAAGAATGAAATGGAAATTTTAGAACTAAGAAATAAGATTTAAAAATCTCACTAGATGGGCTGATCCGCAGAATGGACATGACAGAAAGGAATAAGTGAACTTGAAGAGAAGCCCAGTGGTCGTACATTAAAGGCATTGCTTCATGATGTTGGAAGCCAAGGGTGAGGGTTCTATGTTTGTGTTCTGGATCTGCCTAGCACGCCTGGTGGTCCTGGCTGAGGGGAGAATCCTGAAATGAAGACCCCATTGAGGATGTCTGCCTGTCTCTCTGTCTATCTCTTTCTCCTCCCGCCTTGCCTCTCTCTCAGGAATTAAATACATAAACTTAAAAAATAAAACTTGATGTAATCTAAGTAACAGAAAGAAAAAAGATTTAAAAAGTACACAGAGCCAAGGGACTTGTGGGACAATACCAAAAGGTGTAACATTCTTATCTTCGGTGTTCTGAGAGGCAGAGGGAAAATGCAGCACACAAAATATTTGAAAAAATAATGAAACACCAATGTCCCAAATTTGGCAAAAGGAATACACTGGCAGGTCAAGAAGTTAGGCAAACCCCCCAAAATATAAGCTTAGGAAAGAAAGTCTGTAACCAGACACATTATAAAGAAACTTCTGAAAATTAAAGAAAAAAAATTGGGACCAGCAGCAGGTGACGTGGTGGTTAAGGCACAGAACACTCCCACATGGCTGACCATGGTTTGAATACCAGACCTGGTGGCTTGCTTTCTCACTTTCTCTCTCTCTCTCTCTCTCTCTTTCTCTCTCTGTTTGTGTGTGTGTTTGTGTCTGGCCAAATTAAAATGAATGAATGAATGAAGTTAAATAATTTTTTTAAAAAAATTGAAAGCAATCTGAGGACAAGGCACAGAAGAGAACAATGACTGAATGATTGTAGATTACTTATGAGAAACCACAGAGCCCAGAAAGAACCATAACAAAATATTTAAAGTGTGGAAAGAAAACAAATGTCAAGCCAGAATTCTATTTCAGTGAGACTATCCTTCAGAAGTGAGTTGAAATAAGAACATTTGCAGGTGAATGAACACTAAGAAAATACGTTGCCAATACACCTGCTTGGACAGAATTCAAGGGAGTTCCTCAGGCAGCAAGAAATGATACCAGAAGGAAAGCTGGAAGGATAAGAACGAGGAAAGACAAACAGAAATGGTAAACTTCCAGGTAATTATAACAGACTATTTTTCTTTTACTGAGTTTCTTAAAATATGATTGATGGTTAAAAGCAGAATTATTACATTTTGACCCAGCCTGGCCTGTGCAGTCCACTGTGAGCTGAAATGCAGTCCTGGAAACCGTGTAGCTGACTGTAGGTTTGAATTCATGGGTTACCCTGAAGGCATGCTGCTTGATGGCTACCAGGATCCCCGGGCTGGAGGGCCAGAAAAGGGGGGATCATGGAATGACAGGGCCCTGCAGAGAATGCTTTCTCTCTCTCTCATTCTCTTAAGTGAGTGCACACACACTGTCATAAAAAAAATAGATAAATAAAATATTGGGTCATCAGGAAACTTAGGATGTTGCATAGCAAAACATAGAAAAATATGTTATGACTTTTCTGACCACCCAGTATTACAAAAATATCACATTATCTAATGGAATTTTCACTGTATCAGATACAGTACATAAAACAACTATAGCAAAAACCTATATACTGGTTAATTTCCTATTAATACATTCAACTTGAGGAACCAGCAGTTACCATAATGGCTATGTCGCTGGACTCCCACGTAGTCGACCGCAGTTTGCGTCCCAGACCTGGTGGCTTAAAACTCACACCGGGTGCATGTGCATGCGTGCCCAAGATCCCAAGAGGAGAATGGAGAAGGGATTGCGGTGTGGCCATCCCTCCTGGGGGGTGAGTTCTCGCTTTCTGTCTCTCTGTCTCTCTCTGTCTGTCTGGCGAGTGCACGCGCCCTATAGCGAAAACCTCTGAAAAACAAACAAAAAAACATTCAACTTGAAATGCAAAAAATATTTGAAAGTGAAAAGTGCAAAACTATGTATACTGTAATCCCTATAAGTAATTTCTAAAAGTATATAAAGAAATACTAAAGAAATATAGTCACAGAAAGAGAATACATAGATATAAAATATGTTCTCAGACCATGATAAAATTATTATATAAGAGAAATCAGTAGTAGTAAGATAGCTGGAAAATTCCAGATATTTGGATAAAAACAGAATAGATAAATAAAAAAGGAATACTAAAAACGTATTCAAATTGTCCTACAAAAAGGTAGGAAAGAGGAAACAAGAATAACAAAACAGGGAAGAAATAGAAAACAATAATAAATCTAAGCATACTAATAACTCCACTGAAATGTAAATGATCCAAACACATCAATTAAAAGA